TTTAAAATATTGGGTTGTCAGAAAAGTCATGATCTGTTTTTTCTGTTTTTCGTTGCAAAAATGCATCATGACTTTTCCGACAACCCAATAGTTGTTCCACGAATGGTTTATATCTAAGATATGAAGTGAAATAAAATAGGTGATTTTAAAGGAAACACATTTATTTTTAAGGAAATAGACCAACATAAAACAAGAACAGAAGACAAGGCTGTGAGGAAAAAACGTCAAAACTTTTTTTAAAAAAAAAGCTTTAAAAATGGTAACTTGTCACAACACTCTTACCCTGGGACCCAGCCGGTAGCTTCTGCTATGTGTGTCTGAGTAACCATTGCTGGTGCAGGGGTATATGGACTCCCAATCAGAACACTTCCTGAACTGGTTAGTCTCTGTGGTGTGCTTATAATCTGTAAAGTTAGGACAAAGAAAATAACATCCTTCGTTATTAAAAAACGCCTACAGGTACAAGCTACATACAAGAAGGAAACCTTATTGCCTAAAATGCACTTAATATTCATCGTCTAAAATATAAGCAATACCTTTGATTCATTTATATTCTTGGGTCTTAAAGCAGTCTCCTGAATACTGACATGCGGTCATAATGCAGGTTTCGGCAAGAAAAAAAGAGCAATTTGGAAGGATTAAGTTGGCAACTGAGAATGTTTTAAAAATCAGAAAAATGAAGAGCTTTCTTTGAAATTACAGAACCTAATTCCAGTCGAGCTTGATTTACTAGAACTGGGGTAATAGCAAATCAGATCTTCACAGTCCAAAATATATGCAAAGACATTATACAATTTGGATTACTACACAGATGTAATTTTATCTTATCTTATCTTTTTTTTTTTTTTTTTAAAGCTGAGCCATCCTGCCACCTGTTGGCAGTTCAGCAGCAATTCAGCTCGGGCCGGACTCGAACCGCTGTTACTCAGAGCTCAAACTCTTAAGCGAGCTCTTAATCAACTAAGCCACTTGGCCAGCCCTCCTATCTTATCTTTTTTTAAGAGCATTTTATCATGTCATTAAATATTTGTCCAAGACATTTTAAGGACAGTAAAACATTCCACCATGTGAATTTATTATTCCCTATGAGATATACATGGATAGTCAATATTATAAACAATGTTGTGATAAACATTTTTGTACAATGATCTTGGCCTTAATTTCTATTTCCTAAGGATAGACTCCAGAAAAGGAATTGATGGAACTAAGGATATGGACTTTTAAAAAAAGTTCCTTGGTATATGTTACCAAATTGCTTTCTAGGTCTTAATAATTTTCATTGGTAAATAGAACGTATTTCCCCCAAAAAATGTTTATAATAATTAATACAAAAACGATTTAGCACCCTAGTAATATCTTTAAAAGTATTTTCATAAAAAATAAATAAATAAATAAATAAATAAATAAATAAATAAGGGCATGCACGCTCCAGTGAGTGGGGTTATTAATGAAACAAGATTGTCTCTATGCGGATAATTGTTGAAGGAGTTGCTGGGCACACAGGGGTTCTCTCTATTTTTGTGTACTTTCAACATTTTCCATAATAGTAAGGTTTGGTTTAAATCCCGATTAAGAGAGAAAAGCATCTATGGGTATGTATAATTTTTAAATGACGGCTCTCAAACAAAAGGAATAGTTCCATTTCTGCTGTCTTATGAAGGTCAAAATGCTAATTAATTTTTATCTCCCTGAATAAAACCTATTTCTGCAGCCAGGGGCGAAACTGAGTCATTAAGTTAGTTGCTAACTTGCTCCATAATGAACCAAAGGGAAGGAGTCATCGGCATTCCAAGCTCTCAGTTCAGACTTACTAAAGTCTGGTCAACATTTATTCATTTATTAAATTCTTAAGAACTTTACCTTCTGTTTGTGTTTGGCATTAGGCCAATCTGGAGCTAGGAAGATATTACTATATACAAATGCCTAGCAAATCATTTTAATAAGTTAATTCTATAGTTAAAAATAAAAAACAAACACTGACAGATGTGTGTAGAATTCTCCTTCTCTACAATATGCCAAGGACTATTAAACAGGGCATTCAGAAGCTTGCTTCCTGTGAAAATATGAATACAAGACAATGTGTTTGGACCTCCTGCCCCTCCCCGCACCTCCTCTCACCACCAACCTCCATTTCAATGCAAGATATTTTTAAGGGTAGAGAAAATGTTTGCAGGGCCTAGCACAGCGCTCATAGGAAAGGCGCAATAAATATTTACTGAACTGAAACAGTAACTTTTAAAATGAAGACCTAACTTTTAAAATGATGAAAAAAAGTGGCTTTTGTTCACTGATAGGATTACATAAAAAAGCAGTAAGAGAATACAATATAAAAAGTATAGTTTTCACCGATGACTATATCACACATTCAAATGTCCTCTATGATGGTGACCTTGAGTGTGACAGATTAAGAAAGGACAATGTGAATATCTGATCAGTCTCTGGTCTGCTCTATTCCTAGAACAGGAGTCTCCACAAAATAATTCTAAATGCTTCAATTTACCCTTGAAACAGATTGCATTACTTGTGCAGTATTTATTACTAAGGAGTTCTTTTTCTATATCTTTTATTAGTAGCCTACAGGCTCAGTTTTACCTAATTTAAAGAGCTTTGTAGACAAAAAAGAAAAAGAAAGGAGGAAGGGAAACAGGATATAGGGGGAAAATGGTTACCATTACTGAGGTGACGTTGGAAATGAATTATGTTCTAGTTTATTTTTTCTTCCTCTATGCCTGATTTTCAACTGACATTATTTTCTGATGTGAGTGCGATCAGCAGTAAACTCTGTTCCCTTCTCTTAGCACAGGGCTACATAGTAAGTCCTTAATAAACATTCCCTGAATGAACAAACTGGAGAGATGATAGACTTGAACTGGAAAACCAAGTTAGAAGTTCTTGTGAGATGCAATGGGTTCTTACAACACTGGGACAATGACAGCGAGTCTTAAGAAAAACCAAAGGAAAGTCACCAGAACTTGATCAACTACTGAATACAGGAAAACTGTACAGGTGGTAAGTCCGACATGCTTTATAAAACTGAATCTTAACTGTAAAATCCAGAATTAAAATTAGAGGTAATTAGAGGTAATTACTTCGAGTATTCAGTTGATCTGATAAGGAAAATGAACATTTATTTTAAATTTCAGTCTTCCACCCCTTAAAAAAGACCAAAGGCAATCTTAATTTAAATGTAATCATTTGGTTTTTTGACAATAGAGTACAGTTAGGCTATGAAAAATCACATCGCAATTAAGCCTCATTCTAGAGATTTTCTGCCCTCAATCAATAAATCTTATGTACTACTGCCATCTACAGTAAGAAAAGCCAAGAGAACATCCATATTCTGAAGGAAAAAACAATCTATAATTACAAACTGTTATATTAAAGGGTTTCATTATTTGATAAAATTTTAGTTTACACTATAACATGCAGTTTTAACCATATTAAAATAAAAGTAGTCAAGATAATCATGAGATTATCATATATATACTATATATATATATATATATATATATATATGCAGATTTATAGAACAAAAACAGTTACTGCTAGTTTCTATAAACACAGAAATAACTTTCTTCTTGTGGCCTTTCTATCTACCCTTAAGATTTGCCTTCCAAAGGGACATGTGAAATTTAAATTTGCTTTAGGAAGCAAATGAGTGAGGTTTTACTCAAGAATTGTCCAATTAAACAAATATTTCTTAAAATCACGCATGAGACACTGAAGGTGAGGGGACCATGTTCAAAAGAGGCAAGCAACAGAAGAAAGAAATGGCTCTAATTGGGGTTCTACAACAATTAGGACATCAAAAAGAAAACTCTGATTCGTGCCCAAGATCTAAGAACTGCAAAAAGCACCTCAGAATCAGGAAGACAAATAAGGGCCTTGGGCAGGTCTGGTTTGAAGGAGAGCCCCTAATCTCCTCTCCTTCTTCTGACCTTTTCTGCTGATTGTGAGGTTTGCAGTAATTGGATAAGTAGTACACCTGATTACTTACCACTGTCAGGACTCAAGTGTGTAAAGACTTTCATGTCCATTAGTTCACATTGACAATAGAAAGAGAAATCATGTTTCCAAAAGAGAAATTCAAATTTGAGCCACAGCAGTATCACTAAAATACCAACAGGGAATATTCTCTCAAAATAGAGTACTGTAAGGAAGGGCCAAACTCATAAGAGTTCAGGTATGTTTGTTTGATTTTGGTGTTTAAATAATCATATTTCAAAACACAGACTTTAAAGTCAGGTACCTTATCTCATTTGCACCTACTATAGTGGCTGGTGAAGGGCAAAGGTTTAGTAAGTGTTTTGAAAATATACCGGGGACTACCCTGAAATGGGAACACTTACCTGAGCTTAAGCCTCTGGGAGGTTTGGAGCTAGCTTACATTCTTCACATAGTTACAGTACATTGTGTAAGATCTTTGGCTTGAATTCTGTAGATAATTAACAGTCCTCAAGCGATCAGGAAAAATGTCATGTCTAGAATTTCTTAAAATCTTAAAGACTTTCTGGAGCCATTAAATATGTTAAAAGATATTTTTGCTAAATAATTTTATATTGAACGTAGTCCACAGTACTGTATATTATGAGGAAATTTTATCCTTATTGCTCTATAGCATTGACAATAGAGGGCTATTATTCAGATATTTACGTACTTTTGCTAATGATGGGTAAAGCCATTTTAAATTAGGTATAATTTTTAGAGTAGTTGCATGCAACTTTGTTTATAAATAAGGCTCTCTAAAAGTGCTACATACTTCAGGCTCTAGCATAACTGAAATACCTTCAAAGAAATAGTTAAATATTTTCCATTTTCATTCATTATTTCTACTGTAAAAGATTAAAATGAATTGGCATATTATTTTTTCCCCAAATGTCCTTCAATCAGAGTTTAAAATTAATAGCTCCAGATAGAGATTAACTAATGGCTCATGTTCAGTTTATATGAGAGTACATAGTTTAGGGCAGTAAAGGTTATTTTATACGGAAACAAAGCAAGAAAGCATAAAAACATAACAGATTTCAAATCAATTTAATCCAACAACTGAAAACAACAAAAGCCTCACATAGGGAGCAAAAACCTTAATATTACACATACAGAATCCATAGTCACATACGTGAAAATGAAACACTGAAGAGCACAATGCTTTTCTTTTTCTCAAGACTTATTAATCAGATACATTCAGATAAAAACAAAACTTAAAAAAAAAAAGTGACTGAAGTAAGAAATTAACTAGATATTTGACCAACCATCTTTTTAGTACAATTATCCTCTACATTAGTCTTACCTAAGCAAAGTTACAAATTCTAAGATTTGATGATTTTCTTACCATTTGGGGTCCAACATTCACATTTATTGGTTCTAAGGTTTTTGGTAAAATCTTTGTTGGTGAGTTGGTGCTGGAAACTGGAAATGCAACAAATGAAATGTTACCTGAAATGATATCAAAACACTGGGTTAATGTTCTGCAATATCAAGACCGCCTTCTAAAGCCATGGTCCTAATACCAGGTTTGCTTAAGTAATTTATAACTATCTTAATAAGTAAATTATAAACAAGAAGGCTTACTGAAAAGCCATACCAACTGCTTTGTTGTAGTGAATACAATTAGTTCTGCTGAACAGAAAATCTGTAAATAAACATACTACTGGACTTTTGGATTTTTTATATATAATGCAAAGCATAGTTTATACCAGAGTTGAGAAATCCAGTTATATCTTTATTAGACATCATAGAACAAAAAATGTATGAAGTATAACATGAGGTAAAATAAATATCTATTAGAATTTCTTTATTTATACTAGAAGTTAACATATTTTCAAAATATTGAGTTGGTAGTTTTTTGAGGTTTTATTACAATAGAGAAAAAAAAGATGCTACCTAGCTAGGTTAATGATATTGGAAATTGTGGGATCTATATGCAGTGTTTTCAACACTTCAAATTTTAAATTAAGGTAGCAAAGTACCACCCCCAAAATGAAAAGCCAACCAATAATCTTCTGAACTACTACAGGACTACTTAAGTCCTCCAGACAAACGTCAGTCTATCAGTGTTTCTTTTAGAAGTAACAGTGTACTCTAATATACAAGGGAGATTACCCAGAAGAACGTGGAAGAGTCAATACTGAAACTCTGGGGGAAAAAAACCAACATTTAGGAGCAGGACCAGAGAGACACCTCCTTCTCAGTCTCCTTCCTCACCTGTCCTCCTTTCTTAGCTCTTCCAAAGCTTTCCCATACTCCTTAATCCCCTCCTCTTACCTTCTAATTCTCAGCAGATACTCATATCTCCTTCAGTAAGGAAATCAGACCAGCAGGCTCATGGACAGCTCTTCTTCCTCAACCTGTGAACTATTTGCACCCTCCCGTATTTTTACTTGATTCTCTCTGACTGGAAATTCTCATGTCAATTACTTCTTTCATGTCTGCACTACACTTTCTGTCTCCTCTAGGATCCCACCCATCAATTATGTGCTCTGCCTCCTGCGTTTTCTGCTTTATCACGGGCTCCTCCCCTTCAGGTTCTCTCTCTCTGCCCATTTGTCAGGTATCATTTTCTCTCAATATTCACATTTTAAAATCAAATTCTTTATCTTTTTCATGCCCACTCAGTAAGACTTAACACCCAAATCTGCTTCTCTTTCATGTTCTCGGTCTTGATATATTGAGTTGTTGGAAAAGTCATGACGCATTTTTTGGTTTTCGTTGCAAAAATGCGTCATGACTTTTCCGACAACCCAATACAACTGAGCCTTGGTATATAATCATCGCCCATGCAGTGATCCAAGCCAGAAATAATCGACCCCCTTCTCATTCAACTGACCACCGTATCCAACTTGTTATCTCTTTACCCGGGTTCCTTTATGCCATGGGCACTTCTTTCATTAGGAACTTATCAAATATGGTTTGAACGCAGTTACCATGGTTCACAACCGTGACTGTGCAGTGGAATTATCTGGGAAGCAATAAAAAATACCAGTGCCTGGGTCCTACCCACAGAGCTGCTGATATAACTGATGTGGAGCCAAGCTGGGCATCAGACCGTTAAAAGTTCTCCAGATGGTTCCAGTGTGCAGCTCAGGCTAAGCACCACTGCTCTAACTGGCTATCCTACTTCAAAGAGCTTTCCTCGCCACTCTACACATCTCTAACAAACCAGTCTTTCAACTGGCAAAACTGTTCTGGACACTCCCCCACTTGAGGCCTTCAAAGGTTTCATGACACTTCCTAAACACCTTTCAAACTCCTCCACATGGCAGAGCTCCTGTGTGGGGACCTCACCCCTGCCTCCCATCCCAGCTTCAGGCACTCACTCCACATGCAGCCTACACTCCAATCAGATGAAATACTTGGCAGTTCCGGAAAGGCCCCAGTTCAACCACCCTGACTTTGGTGTACACACCTTTCCTTCTGCGTAAGTCTCTCTGCTGGGACAACTTCTACCTCCTAGCACTTCAAAATGGGATTTCAGCCATTTTCTGAGTTATTACTATGTGCCAGAGTCTGCTCTAGAGACTTCCCACATATACATCATCTCATTAATGCTTAGGACAACAGCGTGAAATATATTATTACTGACTCTATTTTACACATGAAGAAACTGAGATAGAGTGAGGTTAAATGATTTGTACAAGTTCCCATAGCCAGTAAGGGCCATGGCTCTATCGCTCAAGTCTGCTGGGTCGCCTCCTCCTTAAAAGCTGTCCCCAGCATCTGTGGTCTAGGTCCTGAGTGCCCTTCTTCTGGGTTTTCATAAACCTATTATCATTTACATGTAGTTCTACTACAAGTGGGCTATGTCTCTCAGCTTTGTATCCTAGCACCTGGTTTAGTTTCTGGCACAAAATAGGTGCACAAAACTATAAAAACTGACTGATGAGCACAGATCAGAGCTATTTCTTTTCGTAATCTAGATGCCATATTTCCTGTAATGTAGCCTAAATTGTATCTTTTCCCATTTTTTAACAGGTATCATAACTTATACTAAGTTTGAAATAAAGTTAAATACCAGGCCCTTTGTTTACTGTTTTCAAAAACATGACGGAACAACTAGTATTATGAAACAAAGTTTCTTTACGCTGTGTAACTGTGCAGCTGATTTTTTTTTTTTTAAGCTGAGCCATCCTGCCACCTGTTGGCAGCTCAGCGGCTGCTCAGCTCAGGCTGGGAATCGAACCGCTGTTGCTCAGAGCTCACACTCTTGAGCGAGCTCTTAACCAACTGAGCCACTTGGCCGGCCCTGCAACTGATTTTTTTATATGACATGCATATCTTAACAATTGTTAAAGATTAAGGTTATTATCAGAACTCCCAAATATGTTTATTCACCTGTTTAAGAATTCCCCTAAATGGAGAACAATCACCTGCGATTCTAGGGGAGGAACAGGAATGTAGGTGACAGACACCTGCCGTAACCTCAGTCCCAGGCAGGACAGGGACACACCACAGATCCATGTGAGGAAGAACACAGCTCTGAAAATGTCTGGATCTCAGATGGTTTTTTAAAATGACCTTCATGCTACTGAATGTTTAAGATGAAATCATCTCTGATACAGTGTTAGAAGCAAAAGTAAAAAACTTGCATAAACCAAAAACAAACAAACAAAAACAGTGAAACAGAAAAAAGATAGTTAAGGTCAGGGAACAGGTTGACCCCAATTTTAAACTTAAAAATAAAGGAAAATTAAGAACATAAAACTTTGGTCAAAAACAAACAAACAAAAGAAACATCATTAAAGCCAGATCTGTCATGCCAGTTAATACCAAAAGAATTTAGAGGGAGCTAAATAAATTTGACAAATTGATTCTAAAGTGTATCTGGAAGAGTAAAGGCAGGGAACAGCCAGGGAGATTTTGAAAAAAGGAATAATGGGAAAGACGAGAACTTCTAGCCTACCAGATTTCAAAATTACTACATAGCTAGAGTGACTGAAATAAGGTCATAAGAAACAGATAAAGAAATTGACAAAACAGAAATTCAAGTTCAGGAATTACTTCATTTACATGTGAAAATTCTATATATGGTAAAGGTAGCATTTCAAATCAATGGGGAAAGAAGGGATTACTTAAGAAATGTTGCTGAGACAAGCAAGTGTCCCTTTGGATAAAAGAAAGCTTAGATCTCAATTTCTCATCTTACGCAAAAATAATTCCAGAAAGAAAATATTTAACTATAAAAATTAAAGCCATAAAAGTATTAGAAGAGGGCCGGCTGAGTGGCTCAGTTGGTTAAGTAGCTCGCTCAAGAGTGTGAGCTCTGAGCAACAGCGGTTCGAGTCCCGGCCCGAGCTGAGCTGCCGCTGAGCTGCCAACAGGTGGCAGGATGGCTCAGCTAAAAAAACAAAAACAAAAACAAAAAAAAACGTATTAGAAGAAATGTAGTAATATTTTTATAATTTAGGGATGAGGAAGCCCCTTCCAAACATGTTACAATATTTAGGAACCTTAAGTAAAAATAGGTTGATAGGGGCTGGTCAAGTGGCTCAGTGCTCAAGAGTGTAAGCTCTGAGCAACAGACTCGCCAGTTTGATTCCCGGCCCGAGCTGAGCTGCCAACAGGTAGCAGGATGGCTCAGCTAAAACAAACAAACAAACAAACAAACAAACAAACAAACAAACAAACACCCCCCCAGAGTGATAGATTTGACTACCTAAAAGTAAGTCGCTAAGTAGCAAAGGACCCAATATACTTAAAAGACAAATCTAAGAGTTGATAAACATATTTGCAACACACAAGTCATTAGATTATAGCCTTAAAAATTTTATGTACTTAATTTCCCACTTATAAGTCAACAGCAATAAGACAATACCTCAATATAAAAATAATCTGAGTCCATGAAGAAATGTAAATGTCAGTGATCCTATGAAAAGATGCTTGATTTTAATAACAAAAAAATAACAAAAAAACCTTTTTTATTTACTAGATTAATAAAGATTAAAAAGTTTGATAATGCTTGAGTTGGTAAAGATGTGGCGAACTGGGTATATTTTAAAAATATTTACTTGGCACCTACTACATCTACATCAATACTAAGCAATACTAATGTTAAACACTACAGTTACTCAGTGCAAGTGATGTGTCTCCTGCACTCCACAGGCTGACACACACTGTCGGTAAAGGAAGGGAGAGCTGGAGAGCCTTTCTGAAGCGCAGCATGACAGTGTAATTAGAATAACAATGGAACTGTGTATTAAAGCACAAAATGTTAAATAAGTGCTTTAAAAACAATTATACACATTTTAAAGCCTCTTTCCACCTCAACTGCCCTCCATTGCCTAAGTGGCAAGCTGATCCCTGGCCTCTACAGCGACGTCACAATTAATAATGTGCATACCCTCTGACCAGCAATTCTGCTGCTGGATTTATATCCCAAAAAGCTAAGCAGATAAGAACAATTATACTTGTCCTAGGATTGCAGCATTGTGGATAAAAGC